TTTTTTTTTTTTTTTTTTTTTTTTTCCTCCACTCTGTGAAACTGGCTGCGCTCGCCATCCAAACCCGGCAGTCGGGGAGGTCTGGAGCAGCCGCCGGAGCCTCCCGCCTGGAAAACCCAGCGGGAGCTCCGGGCTCATGCTGTGCGCTCAGAAACACATTTTACACCAATGAAAGAGGGGGAAAAAACCCCCAAACTTTAGTAAAAACAAAGTGGCTGTTGCTGCTTTCAGCCCCTGGCACTATCCAGCTCTGTCCCCGAGCGGATCGAGCCCTCGGGGATGCCCATGGGGGCTCATTCCCTTTTCCCGGGCGGTTTTCCCGAGCGTGTCCCGCTCTCTCGCAGGTATTCCGCGAGCAGGCGATCGACGGCGAGACGCTGCCGCTGCTGACGGAGGAGCACTTGCTGAACAACATGGGCCTCAAACTGGGCCCGGCCCTGAAGATCCGGGCACAGGTAGGCCGCGCTTGGCAGCAGCTGGAATAGCTCTGCCCATGGAATTGGTTTATTGGGCAGAATTTCCCCAAGCAATAGCTGTTTTTAATATAGATCTGTGTTTAATTCTGGGCTGCAGAAAGCTTGGTTGTATTTCTGCTCTCCGCAATGTTCCACGGCCTCAGCTGGAGCTGGGGCTCCTGCAGCAGGGAAAACAGGGGCACTATTGCTGTAGCAGAGCGTGTAGGGCAGGGGCTGAGAGAAGCAAGAGCTGCAGCAGTAACTGCACCCTAAAATGGACCAGGTTCTGCTGGCATCAACACTTTGGGCAATGTGAAGTAAGTCCATAAAATAGAGGGGAGGAAAGGAGGACCGGGACGGTCCTAAAATTCCTTGGGTTCTCCCACCTGGTCGGCGCCACTTCCTCATAGTTGGACTCAACCTCCAGGAAAGCATCTCCAGGAGCTCCTGTTTTCCCTCCTTCATTTACTGACTCGGAAAACAGCTTGTGACACATGTCAAGCCCAGCCTGGTCCTTTGTGCTCCCGAGGGGCTCATGTTGTGCAGGGAATTATGCCAGCCCGTGTGTGCACATACATGCACTGCACACAGGCAGCCTTGGGTCCCCCTAACCTCCAACCTGTGCATTTTTTTATATTATGTTAAAACAATAAGAGCAACTTTATTACTTTCCCTACAGCCCTCACTGTTTATGAGGGGGCTAATAAAAAGGTTCTGCGGGCAATTGTTCCCTGTGGGTTAATTCAGTAGGAAATAAAGCGCTTTGGTTTCTTAAACAGAAAACTCTAAAATAGCTCTCAGACAGCCGTAGGTCAGATTTGGTGAGGGGGAAAGGCAAGGTATGGGCTGAAACAAGGGGAAAAGAATGCAATTTAATCAATTGTGTTAAAAGCTCTGTAATAAGGTGGGTTTTGGGGCCGAAGCTGATGCTGCTCCCAAACAACGGGCTGCTTGTCCGGCCCCTCAGCAGCCTGTGGGGTTTAAAGCTGCGATGGGAAGCGGCTGCGGAGGCTGCCAGCCTTTGCTGGGACAGGGAGCTGCTGCAGGGGAGGTTTCCTTGGAACAGGGAAGGGCTGGGAATGCTGAGGAGAGCAGCTCCTCTCTGCTCCGTCCCCTTCCCTTAGCCAAGTGGGGTGCTGCAGCTGTAGGGAGGTTCCCGGGGACAGTTTGTGGTGTTTCCATCCCATGTCTTTCCCCATGCTCATCCCGTGTTCTTCCCCTGCTCATCCCGTGTTCTTCCCCTGCTCATCCCATGTTCTTCCCCTGCTCTCATCCTGTTTTTCCCCACGCTCACCCCGTGTGTTTCCTCGTCGCGCAGGTGGCCAAGCGCGTGGGCCGCGTGCTCTACATGGCCGGCTTCCCGATGGCGCTGCCGCTGCCGGCGCTGCGGCCGCCCGAGCGCGACGCGGAGCTGCGGCCGGCCTCGGCGGGCAGCGCGGCCTCGCCCTTCGGCAGCGGCCTCCCCGCCAGCCGCGTCTCGCCCAAGCAGGAGAACGGCGACGCCGCCAAGCCGCCCTCGTAGCCGGAGCCGCCCAGCCGCGCCACCCTCGGCACCGCAGCGGATGAGTTGCTAGGTTTTTTTGGGTGCATTTGGTTTTTTTTTCTGTTTTTTTAAAATAAAAGTTTTTAAAACGGTAAAAAGGGAAGGAAGAAAAGACGATCCAAAGATGTATGGAGACGACCCATGTGAAGAGGAGGGGGGAAAGGATCCACGGAGGATGGTGGCAACGCGAGCCGGGCCTGGATGCTCCTCTTGCCCTTCCAGGCCCCACGAACTGCAGGGGAGCCTCCGAACTGGAAGGGAAGGGACCCTGGCTCCTCCTGCGACACCCGGTTCCCCTTCAGCAACAACAACAGCCAAAAAAGGACAAAAAAGGGGGGAAAAAAGGACAAGGAAAGGGGGAGCCCCTTCCTTCCCCGCTCTCTCCTCCTCTCTGGAAACTGTTCTCAGTTCCTCGTTCAGGTGTCTATGCATCTCTAGCAACTTTTAAAAATAATACCAAAGACAGACACAAAAAAAAGACAAGAAAAGGCAAGTTCCGGTCCATGTTTACGTCAGCGGGGACGGGGCAGCTCGGAGCGGCCGCCCGTGGCCCCGCTCTCCCCTTCCATGCACCCAGGGAAGGGACGCGATGCCCTGCGGATTGTTGCTTGGGGCGGGGGGGTGGATATGTTGTTTTAAAGGAGGAAATAAAACATATGTGTGTGGGGGGGTGGGATGGAGGGGCGCAGGGCTCCGGCCTGTGGCTCCCGACGGTGGGTCCGGGTGTTTGGGCGGCTGCTTTTGGTTCCCACTAAACCCTTGGAGCGGGCTGGGGGGCACAGGCGGCCCCCACGGGACAGGGCCCTGGGAGCAACAGGCGCCCTGGGACTGACTGGGTGCTCCCGGGGCGCCGCCTGTGACGTGTACAGTTGTGAGCAACAATCACATGTGGTACTTGGGCTGTTTCTTTTTTTTTTTTTTTTGTTTAAATATTGCACGTGCTACCTTTTTTGTTGTTTTTTTTTTAAGCTCAGTGGTACATTAGCTTCTTTATATTGTTAAAAAAAAAAAGTCATTATCCGTCACCTCACGGTAAAAATGCTTTCCAGCGACGAGTTTAAATAAAAAAGGAAAACACTTAATTTACAAAGGGGTCCCTTGCAGGGAGCTGCTCTACTCGCCTCTCTCTGTGTGCACACCCCTGTGTTTTACCCCTCATGCTGCTGCTTTGGGGCTGCTCCGGTTCCACAGGGGCACACATGCTCACCCCAGGTTTGGATCCCAGCTGCCACAGGGCACAAAGCTCCTTTTTCAGCTAAGTGAGAGCAGGGAGCCACAGCACCCTCTTTTTGGGGGGAAGAAAAGGTAAGTTTAAGCTCGCTTTCTTGCAGCGAGGGTCTTGGACGTGTCATTTTTGCACTCATAGCCCTGGGCTCACATGTATTTAAATGGCCTGAAGGTCCAGGCTTGGTTACCTGCAGGAGCTCCCTCAGGCCCGCGCCTTCCCAGCCCTCCTAGTGAACCAGCAGGAGCTGCCGAGCGTTGCCTATAAATTAAAAAAAGACTTCATATTTTCTACGGTTTCCTCCTCCCATCTATGGGCCAAAGGGTGGCTGGGTGCAGGTTTGCTGGGACATGTACTGTAATTACTCTAAGTACAGCTCAAAAACTCCCCAAATTAAACCAACACTCCCACCACGGTGCTGTGGCAGTAACGAGGAGCAGGAAAGGAGCAGCCCTCAGCCCAGGACACAGCTTGTTGAGCTGCCCTCACTTACACGTGAGGACAAGAACCCTGCAGGGGACAGGGCCACCTCGGCACTGACATTAAGCGGTGACCTCGCTGGGACAGCGGACCCAAAATCCTGTCTGGTTCTGCCTCCCCCATCTTCTTTTCCAAGGAAAGCTACCTGAGGAGCGCTGTCCTGCGCAGGTCATTCCCAGGGGAGCAGCTAGAGAGGAGCCCACAGTGCAGGTTGCCAGTCCCAGCGCACGGTGCACACAGAGCCCGCCGTCACCGTGCAGCAGCCTGCGCGGCCCCGCGGGCTGCTCCTCTGCCCTCCCTGCAGGAGCTGAAACTGAACCCGCCTTTAGTGAAAATAGTGCATTTCAATGAGGACTTTTTATTGCCCTTGTTGAGCCACTTTACTGGCCTTCATGTGAACACACATTTTTTTACCGTTACCAAAAATTGTAGTTGCTGGAAAAAAGCATGAAAGTCCAAGCAGCAGCTTTGCTGCGTCACTGAGCATGTCCTTGGAGGCACTTTGGGCTGATGTCCCCCCCAGGCGTCCCCAGCTCTTACCACCACCTCAAGAACCAGCTCCTGGCGTGGAAATAACAAAAAAAAA